TTGTATAGTGAAATCCATAAGCTTTGTAAAAAAATTCTTAGTAATTTCGAATCTTTGCTCAAAGGAGCTAAAGACGTACAATATTCTCAAAGATCCAAGCTTTACTATTCTAGAATATGTTGTAATTCCAAATAAATTGTAAAGTTGTTACAAAACTGTGAAATGTATTTTTTTTTAAATGCATACCCCTTAAAGTATGCTATTTTCCGACAGTATGCATTTAGAAAAGGTTGACAGAAATCATTAGATCTAATGGTAAGTAGAACTTTTAAAAGATCAGACCAATATTGGAAAGATATTTGATAAAGGTAACAAGTACAAGTTAAAGAATCCTCATGCATGTTTTTTTTTTTTTTTTTTTTGTTTTGTTTGCTTAAAAAATAAATAGTTAGACAATATTTGTGTTTGAGCTCAATGCATTTTAACTATTCTTATTATGGAATAATTAATAATTTTGATAAAAATTCCGGAGCGTATCTCATTTAACGCATGTTATTAGTAAATATATGGTAAAAATTTAACTAATAATTCAACTAATAAATTCAACTAATAAATTCACCCGCGATTTTTCTACATAATTCTCGGAGAACATAAAATTTTCCTTATTAGTGTTATTCCTAATTTGGAAAAAGTTAAAGCGGAATGATCAAGGTTTAACTTAAAATTAGGGTTAAGGACATTTGAAGTTAGAGTTAGGGCGGGTAATTATGATTAAATAACTTTTCCACCATTCTTCAAGACAAGTTTAAAAACTTTTTCCCGTCATTTTTCTCATCATTTATTTTTTGCCTTTGTGAAAAGTTCCCGAATTGATTGGTCAATAGATGCAGACCCTGCTTTTAATCCAACACCTAATTTGGAATTAATATAAATTTTTATAGTTTGCAGCATTCATCAAATAATCCTAAGTTGAACTGGCATGTGAGAACGCGTAAGGATGTGGAATAATTTTCATTTCGAATAAAATAATATTTATTGTATGTACATACGTGTTAGAAGTTAGTAAAATTCAAGTTTACAAATAACCTTATTTGGGAATGAAGGGATTATACATACATATATACTTCTCCACGCGAATAAAATCATAGTACTTACGTACGTATGAATATAATTTATCTGGTTTAAAATATAACACTCGTTGGGTAATGAATTATTTACCGCAGCACAATATGCAAAATTTTTCGTTATATGTTACATGAATCGGTGTTTAACGGATATATATTTCCTTAATAGGAATTATGAACTTTTCACGAACGTATTATATTATATTCTGATTGAACATTGTATGCAGTATGATGATCAGAGATCTTGTGCCGGTGAGATACAAAGTACAAAATATGTCTAGGCCTTGAAGTTTACCAGGAATAAATGATTCGTCATTAAAATTTTCCAAGCTTGAAGAAGATTATCACATTTGTTTCGAAACGCGAACATGAAAGCCGTGAAGACAGTCAAAAAAAGAAAATTAAATAATATCAAAATACCGATAGGTTTCAGAGAAAAAGATTTTTATTGGTGTTTTTATTGATGTTTTACTTTTGATATTTATATAAATATATTTCTCATTTGTTCAGAGAATTACCGGATTTGAAGAATCGAATTGTTATTTATAGCGAGTATGGTGATAAAATAAAAAATGCATGTATTAAAATATAATTTTAATTGTTAATATTGTGCTATCCTAAACTTCATTTTCTTATCACAAGGTTTTTATCTCAGATCGCGTAATTTCAAAAGAACTCGTATATCTAGCACATTATAAAATCCATTGAGAGATTTTATTTGATTAGATGTGATTATATAAGCCTTTATTGCATGAAATATATTCGTGACAATTTTTATAGTTGACAGTATATAATATAGAGTACGTATCATTAAATCACATAAATTACGAATTAATCTTTTTAAATTAATATTCTATAAACAGTTAAATACAAATAGTGACAAATAGCGACAAATAGTGATGGGACTACCGTTAAGGATAAATTTTCGCATTCAATTATCGTTATGAAGAATAAATTTTTTTTTAAAAAGATCACGGTGTGTGATGTTGAAATATTTTATCCTATCACTAGAAAATATAAAGTTATTTCCAGGTATTTACTTGCTTTAGATATGCGAATATTGACATATTATCATTTTAAATTTGTATTGTAACTATTAAATTTTCTTGAGTTCAAGAAGTTTTTAGTTAGTTCAAAGTAAGTTATCAGTTATATTTTAAAAAAGTACGTACGTACGTACAGTAATGTATAGCATTTGGTACGGTATCGTGTGAAACAACAGAACATGTTCCCATGTTTATTGTCTTTTAACATAGACATTTGAGCTATATACCGAGTATTATTAGTTACCCAGGTTACTCAGGTAATTTATTATATTATTTTTAGTAGTAATTTAGTCCGGGTTCCATTTGGCTTAGACATTTAATATCCTTTTACAAATAAATAAAATAAATAAAAATAAATAGTTTTTACGACTTTGGTAAAGATATTCAATGTTCCAAGAATGTGTTTCCTTAATTGAATCGAATGTGTAATGGCTGAAGGCCATTTATCATTGTTCGGTTATTTGTTATCGATTTTAAATAATCCTCGATGCATCCAATGCATGTTTTTTTTCTATTAAAAAAAAACATGTTTTTTTTTCATGAGAAATTGTTTTTATGTTTATCAGATCATCTATATTATCTATATTTAATAAATTCCAAAGAAAATGGCGCCATTCGCAGATTTTCCCATCTTACCATCATCGTAACACGCGAGTTTATTCGAGATTCCTTAAGTTTCGAAGAAATTTCCTGATATAAAATTGATAAAAGACCAGGGGAGCTCAGGTATCGTAGTATAGTATGATTCATCAAATACACAAGAAAACAATTAGTTTCAACTTTCTAAAAAAAAAAGAAAAAAAACGAATGTTTTATAAACCATAATCTTATTTTCTATAGAGCCTTGTATGGCATAACTCATATGAACAAATGAAACTAATTAGTCTTCGGTGTAATTTCTGCTGCTTTTATCATATGATCTGAAATATAGATTTACGATAATTGTTTTACAAACAAATTAAATAGTAACGATTGTTTTGTACAAATTAAAGTCTAATTTAATATTGAACTTTAAAAATAATTGCCTTGGTCTATTTCATAAAATGTAAGAAAGCTCTATTATGATCAATGTGAATATTATGAAAATTGAACATTACGAACATTACGAACATTATGTCAAGTTTATATAATAATTTTCGAAATTCTGATCATGTTATGTAAGTACATGTACAATAGAAGATCAAAAAATAGATACAAGGTACATAGAGTAGAGTAAAAGGTTGCAATCTGCTACATGGGCGTAATCTGAAAATGTCATGCATTGCATTGTTTGCAGCCAGTAACCTGGTTGTGTTAATTGACATTAGTGGAATGTTATCCTTATTTTCTCTGATGCTTGTCGATTTAAGAGAGTATGGCGTTTCGCATAGTGTTGTGGTATGTTTTTCACGGTTCTTTTGCATCTGAAACTTACCGCAACAATACAGACATACATGTTTGTTTTATTTCATTAGTTCTTTGCCTTTTTTTTTTTTTTTTTTTTTAGACATGGGTATTTCTCTTACAGGTAAATTCTTTGTTCTCAAGAAATGTTGATTTTTTTAAAAAAAGATTTGTATCATCTATAATTAACTTGTTCTGAAAAAAAAAAAAAAAATTAGATTCTCATAGTTCTTGATCTGCTCCATCGATTTAATCCTCAGAATATTTGAATGCAGATGCACGCAATGTAATAAATTTAACAGATTAAGGAGATGATAACTTTTTCCATTGTCTAGTCTGCAATTTGTTAGTTTTTGTAAATAATTTCCAGTTGTATGTTTAATATTCGGCGATTTTAAGATAATAGATATTTATGTAATTTTAATTAACTTACATATATGGAATCTTTGCCATGAAAAAAAGACACTTCATGCCTGTTGTATATAGATTTTATGGTTAAAATTTAAATTCGTTATCTGTCCAATGATCCAATTTAAATAAACTTTTGTTTGTTTTTTTTTTAGAACACTCAATTTCTACTAAAAAAAAAATAAAGTTTATTAAAATTGATGATTGAATGACTAGCGAATTTAAATTCTATTCATAAAATATACATACCAGTAACCTTAAAGTATAATTTTCCTAGTAAAATATGTTCCCTAGTAACTTATCGCAAAAGATTTTAAAAACTAATATTTATTAAAAATAATATTATATAAATGAATTAATTAATAATACTTTGGATTATATTGTTTGTACAGTACTAATGCCCAGGAAAATTATAATTAACAGTACAATTACCGCTATCCTTTTTTGCATTACGTGCTAAGATCTTCGGAAATATGGACGTTTCAAGTCACATAAAATTTCATTTAAACTATGTCTTTTAATATAAAAATAAAAAACAAACTAATTATGTCTATTCCATGCATAATATTAAATGCATGCTTCACTATTTATGTATCAAGAAAAATAAATACGTACGCCTTACCTTCCCTTTTTGAAAGTCTCTGACTATCGAAAAAGAAAGTGACGATCTTGACTCTCTTTTACAAATCATTAACGCTTAGCATAATTGTTTATATGTTGTCTTGACTTCAAACAACATATAAGTGCATGATTTAGATTTTTTTTTACGTTTATTCTTCGGCCTTTCTGGCAAGACGAAAGACTGATCAAGGGCAATATTTTCTTATTAGTAGTCCTCTGTTTGCCATACTTTTTTTTTTTTTTTTGTTCCCATAGTGCTTACCAAAATTTTCACATTCTTTGCTTCGAAATTCTCATCTCATATTTCATCATATTCATATATTTATTGTCATTTGTATTTGCTCCATCATTTCCGATTTCCTTTACGGTATCCAACTTTTTCTCGTCATATCATCTTTTTTTCTTTACTGTCTTTATCTTATTTAAAAAAAGAAAAAAAAAAAGCCATCAATTCATCCTTCAATAATATGATTATGCAATGCATTTATTTTTATCGCTAAACCGAATTTTGTTTTTGGCTGTACCGGCATTCTTGCTACTCTTTACTAATGTCGTGATCGCTCAAAAGCAAGGTAACACAAGAAACCGTCAATAAAATATTCGTCAAAACAATAATTAACAAACCGAATTTCTTTTAACTATTATATCTTTAGTTGTTGAAAATTCCGATAAACAATATGAATTTGATGATTATCAAAATGATATTGTTGCTGTTATAGCCATTACTTTTGGTCATATTAACTTGTGTGCATGCCTTTATGTGGTAAATTATTTATATAATGATTTTATAACTCTAATTTTATTAGTATAAAAGTATATTTATACATAATCATTTAATTATCTTAATATTTTAGATATATTCGGCATTTAAAAGATGGCGTGCAAGTTCTCTATCAATATCAACCCGTATTCCACTGTATTTTGGAATTCTTGAAGTGTGCCAATGTAAGTTTAATTTTATTTATTTATTTATTCAGTATACTGTATTTTTTGGTTATATAGTATGTAGTAACCGCTTTCGTGTAATATGTATATTTCTTTTTTATTAAAATAGATATCGTATTTATGCCAAACTTTATGTATTCTTTGATAAATAAACAATTAATCCCCGGTTTCTACTGTAAAGTTCTTGCCTACCTGCTCCTTTTACAAATTACTATAAACATGATTTTGATGGCTAGCATAGCCATGACCACTTATTTGGTAAGTTACAAATTTGTGATCACGTGTTTTATTTCCTAGATTCATTCTTTTATTTACTGTATTTAAAATTCAGAGAATTGTAATAGGCAAAAATATTTACTTAGGAACGTATGATTGGTAAGCATTCAAACTCCGATCATCACGTGACTGACCACATGACTCATTATTCACTTACTTAAATCGACAGGAAGCTCTTTGTTTTCATTATTATCTCTTCGATAATAGTGACGATACCTTCTATCCGATCTTTGGGTCCTTCTCGGTTTTGGTGCATGACAGTTTCTAAGCAAGCGAACGAACTATTAATTGATGGATTTACAATATTTTGCGTGACTTTTTTTATCACCTGTTTTTGTTATCTTCAAACTCTATCGACTATATTTAATATTGATCGTGATGAAATGACCGATTGTAAAGAAAGAATGGATAGATGGAACAAATTAGAAAGAAAAGCGACAAGAAAAATTTTGATTTATGTCGTTAGTTTTATGATTAGATGGCTACTCTTAATCCCTTTTGGTGTTGGAATTATGTCTGGATATAATTGCATTTGGGTGCATATCACAGCTGTTATTGGTATGTATTTTCTTTTCAAATTTTCGTATTCTTAATGCTTTAACTTTTAATGTGATCTTTAGTACCCTAGCCCTGATAAAATTTTCACGTGACAAAGATCCTACTCAATTTCTGTATTAAATAAACCAGATAAGATCGTTGTTAACATGGCTAGGGTATGTGATCTATTAATGATTACCATCATGCATCTCATTATTTACTTTGTTGTAAACAGCTTTCAATATGGGGGGAATTGCTATTTCGATTTTATATTTGATGAACGAATGCCTCTCAGATCACAATTTGCATCCAATTTCAGAACAAATACATACAACTATTACATCAAAAATAGAACATCTATCTGCTTTTAATGCATCGGCATTAAACGTTTCTCCAAAATCTATTACTATACCAATGGCTGTTTTTATTCCATCTATATTCAATCCTGATAGTCCTACTACTTTTAATTGTGACTCTATTTATGGGATAAATTCTTTAGATAGTGATAATTATGATGGAAAAAATCCTGAAAAGCAGCAACAGCCCGATGGAAGTAGGCAAAATAGGAGTCCATCAGATGATGATAGTTCTACACAAACTGACACTTCAGATATCGAAGAAGAGCTCTATTTGGCATTATGTTAATTTACTTTAATTATTAATTGGCTAGAAATGTTTGTTTTTTTTATTAAAGAAAAATAAGTTCTGTTGGACAATTATGGTAATAATATAGAGTTAAATAGAAAACTTTGGTGGAAATTTTTTTTGCAAGCGTAGCACGTGATCTAGATTTTTTTGGCAATTCTTTTTTTGTACTATATTTTTTTCTCTTTTTCAATTAATACATAATAGAATCTGTTTTTTTTTTTCTTTTTCGGTGGGAATTGATTTATGTAATAAAGTTTAGTACGGTACAAGAAAGTATTGCCTTTTTTTTTTTTTTATGCTCTTACAATTTGGGTAGCTTAAATGTTAAGAGCACCTTATGTTTTCTATAAGTTATGTATTCTAAGATCCAACCTTTTTATGCTTGATAAATGATATCGGTATTTGTATTTTATAAATACCAGACATTTAAGTTCTTAAGAAACCAAAATTTCTTGTGAAGACTGTTGTGACAATTTATTGCAGTATACTCGCCTCTCTCTATACCGAACCTCTGTATACATGCCTAATATTGCATATATCAAAATATATTTTATACCTGTATACTGTATAACGAACATTCATGTCTATTTCTATATGATTGCCGTGAATCATCTAGCATCGCCGCACTCAAAACCTTGTCTGGCTCTAAAGAAAATTCTTGAAAGAAGTTACAGTAATCATCACATATTGCATAGTATATGTAATCACGTGATAAATATATATTTCCCCCGATTCTTTATCTAATGTTTTATTAATCGACGTTGCAAATCTTAAATCATGAATATAAGCATTATGTAAATCGGGTTGAAATATATTACTATGTAAATCATAGTGAAGAATATTATTCGAATGAATCATTTGAAGATCGGATGCAATATAAGATAATAATTCTAGTTTTTTTTTTATTTCATTTTTGCAACTTTGTAAAGATTCTTACGTAAAGATCCCTGCTCTGCATATTGCATAACTATAATGTATTCACCTGTGCCTTCATCATTTGATACTCCATGGCATTGCAAAAATGTGGGGTTCTTAGATCCAATATTTGAATATGCAATTAACTTTAAAATTATAATTATTAATAATAATTGAATAATAATGATTAAATTCATAAACTTTATCAAAATATTTACCTCTTTTATAAGTTCCTCGTAACTACTTTTTGACCCATGAATTAATTTAAGTGCAATCTGTTGACTTGCAACAATACCATCTGTTCTCATGTATTTCCAATAAGCTTCGTATACAGTTGCGAACCCACCTTTTCCAATTATTCCTGAAAATTCTAATTCATTAAATGGAATCCATGATATTAATAAATTATTTTCAGATAATAATTCTTTCAGAGAATCATCAAGATTTCCAGAACATGAAAATTATTATTTCTCGCTTTTTGCAGCCATTCGATAGCCTTTACCTGATTAGGTGATGTTCCTTAACCATTTCGATAACATAATCCAAGTTCATGTTGTCCACGATAATTACCATTTTCAGCCGATCTTAAATACCATCCAAATGTCTTTTTTTATCTTTTATAACACCTATACCAACCCTATAATACACTGTGAGATTAAATCGTGCAATGAAATAACCACATTCAGCAGATTTCAAATACCACTCAAATGCCTTTTTTTCGTCATTGGTTGTGCCTATGCCATTTTCGTAGCAGAATCCAAGGTTACATTGTCCGGCCAAATCGCCACCTTCAGCAAATTTCAAATACCACTCAAATGCCTTTTTTTCATCCATGGCTGTGCCTTTGCCACTAGTGTAGCAGAACCCAACGTTACATTGTCCATTCGGATTGCCACCCTCAGTAAATTTCAAATGCCATTCAAATGCCTTTCTTTCATCCTTGGCTGTACCTATGTCTTCGTCATAGCAGGATCCGAGATTATCTTGTCCCTCCGTATTGCCATCTTCAGCAGATCTCTCGTCGTACCTATGCCATTTTGATAACATGATCCAAGGTGAACTCGTCCAAGAGAATCGCCACTTTTAGCAGATTTCAAATGCCTTTTTTCATCTTTATCTGTGCCTATGCCATGTTCATAACACCATCCGAGATTATCTTGTCCCTCAGTACTGCCACCTTCAGCAGATTTCAAATACCGCCCAAATGCTTTTTTT